CAATACACCACAATCAAAGAGACGCTGCTGAAACGGTACGCTGTGACCCCAGACACCTACCGAAGGCAGTTCCGCAGCACGAAGAAAAAAGCGAATGATACCCATGCCGAATGGGCCCATCGTATGCGGAGAGCTGCAACCCATTGGATTACCGGGTGTCGGGCCGTCACGGCCGCGGAAATATTGGAACTTTTCTTATTAGAGCATTTTTATGAGGGTCTGGAACAAAAAGACCGGGAGTGGTTGAAAGACCGGCGTCCCGCTAACCTACACGAAGCAGCCCGGTTGGCAGACGAGCACCGAGATGCGCAAGTACAGGAGTTCAACAATGCCCGAACGGTAACTCGCCCCGAAGCAAGAGAGGGATACCGATCAACTCCACGAACGGAGTTTCGCAACCCTGTACCCGCAGGTCCTACACGGTACATGGGACCACCCAGCCACTACCCTCAGGAACGCTCCCGACCCACATGTTATAAGTGCAAGCAGCCGGGGCACCTGATAGCGAGTTGCCCCCTTAACAACAATTACCCCGCACGGAACTATAATTCTTCTCCAACGGGAAACAATCGTCCAGCTCGAGCGTTTTGCCTGGAACAAGACAGTCCTCTAGAAGAATACCTGGGACCCCTACATGAAGCGAATCCTGTGTATGCCGCCAGCGACAATAGACAACACCACCGGCAAGAGGTACTACTGGAGGGGCGTCCCACACAGGGGTTAAGAGATACCGGGGCCACGATCACCTTGGTGCAAAGCCGGTTAGTCCCCGACTACAAACGCTCGCCTGACACAGTGGCTGTCCGGGTGGCTGGAGGGGACATATACAAACTACCCACGGCAAAGGTACACCTGGATTGGGGTGCGGGAAAAGGACTTGTGAGGGTGGGAATTATGGACAATTTGCCAGCCGAGGTTTTGCTGGGAAACGACCTGGGACCTATGACTTCAGCTTATGCCCCGTCCTACAATGCTGAGGCACATCCTGTGACGACCCGGTCACAAGCTGGACGAGCCCGAGACCCTTCACCAGTGCGGGAGACGCAGACGCTTCCATGTTCGGGCTGGGAGCTGTCCTCAGCCAAGTAGGAGATGATGGGAAAGAACACCCGATTGCCTACATCAGTCGAAAACTCCTACCACGCGAAGTCAGCTATGCCGCGGTAGAAAAGGAGTGTTTGGCTCTGGTGTGGGCATTAAAGAAGTTAACCCCCTATTTGTATGGACAAGAGTTCACTCTGGTTACAGACCATAACCCGCTGGTGTGGCTCAACCGGGTCGCTGGGGACAATGGCAGATTGTTACGCTGGAGCTTATCCCTGCAACCCTTTAATTTTACCATCACCTACCGACCTGGGAAGCAGAACGGCAACGCCGACGGATTATCCCGGCAAACAGATCTCAGCCCACCATAACCCCACGAGTCTGGACAGCCTTAGTCTGCCCCGAAAAGGGGTCAGACAGTGTCTGCCAGAGTGTTCCACAAAGAGGGAGCATTGTTACAAAAGACTGGAAATCACTACGTTGCTGTTTTTACTCACTGATTGATACTGTTTGCCACTGCATAAGTTAAACAGAAAACCACACGAATGGATTACACGAACCCTTATGGAGGCTCCATTCGTGGTACGAACGGGGGACCCCCCAGAAACTGGCGCGTGCCGCCACTTAACCCCGTCACCCCGCAAACTACCGAACGGGCGACCCCCCCGGCTCGCGGAGTGTGGTAGCTATTAACCACCCAGATGGCTGCGGTTTCGGTTAACCACAATGTAATCGTTATACCTGGGGGCATCGACGTTCGTACCCAAAGTACCGAAGGGAAAAGACCGAACGATCCACCGAACGACGACCCCCTACAGCGGGTCGCGTGGCGCTCATTAACTGTGGTTTCTGCGGTTAACCCCAGGTCAAGTACCCTGTTCCCAGGTGGTCCTCATTCCCTTACCGAACGAGCCCACTACCAGGCAGACAGCGGGACTTCGCAGGAACTGATACCGAGTTTAGTTCCACGAGTTAGACATGAAGTCCCGCTGCTCGCTAAACCAGCAGAAAACATGGCCGCCAACAAAGACTAACCATCTCATAATGCCGAACGGACTTTATACGGCAGAAACAGCACATTCTGTTCGTGGGATTAGAGCGGCATTCGCCTGGTTTATCTATACGAACGCGAGCCTTAAAATGAATGGTGGAATGAATGGTTTTCCTGTAATAATGTACAAGTTATGGATTTTTATGTAGTTTTCTGGGGCATAATAAAACGTGGTCTTTTGTGCGCTTGGAGATAATTAGATTGTAAAACCGTTGGCCTCATTATCTCCAAGCTGGGCGGGTACTAATTCAAATGATACAGTATACTGTGATTGGTTACCTGTTTGTACTGTACCTGTATTCCATCAGGTCCACAGGGGGCTGTCCTTGGACCTGAGGAATCACATAAATTGCCATGCTATGTGCCAGTAAAGCCAGTTCGTTTTTGACCCTCAACTTGCAGCCTCGACTCATGTTGTAGGGATCCGGGATATTGATGTTTAGATCGTGCTTGGGGATATTCTACACTTACAGCTGATTACCGAAAGACCTCCGTTCGACTCTCTGCAGCGGGAACCAGGACATCCAAGCGATCAACCCTCCTGCTAGACCGGGGGCAATCGTAACACACCCCCAAGAAGTTGATGATCGTATCCGGACCTTCCATCTTTGTTGGTGAAATAGGTACTCCTAGTTGTGTGAACAGTCGTGTTATAGAACGGAGGCTACTGGGAGATAACAGGTTACTTTCTATGGTCAGAAAATCATCCAGGTAATGGATAACAGTGGGGCATTTACAGATGTTAAGTAGCATCCAGCACAATGTCTCAGCAAATATATAAAAAATCCTGGGGCTGCTCTTGGAACCAAACGTGAGACGTGTGAAAAAATAATATGAACCATGCCACTTAACACTGTGTAAATGACACAGGGACGGATAGATAGGGAATAACTTAAAAGTGTTCACTATATCCGTTTTGCTAAGCCATGCCCCCACCCCCGCCGCGAGAATGGCAGTGACGGCTTTATCTATGGTAGCATATTGGAGAGAAAATTCTTCTGATGGAATGAGCGAGTTGAGACTTGGGGTAGGTGATGCATGTGGAGCAGAGAGGTCGAGAATTAACCTTTGCTTATTGGATGATTTACTCGTGACCAGTCCTATGGGGTTAGGTCTCCAAACCGCGAAAGGCGGGAGTCGAAAGGGCCAATTAAGAATCCTTGGTCAATTTCTTTCTGGAGAAGTAGGTCAATTGTGTCGGTAGCTGCCTGGGCTGTCTGTAAGTTTTTACATTCTAAGATTCTAGTAGTCATATGAATAATACGCGTGTGAAACCCCAAAGTAAACCCTGCCACCAAAAGTTCTACGAAATGGTGAGATGGGTGACCACATAATAACTTTTTCAGCAGGGAGACATTAAGAGACGAAAGGTACTGCTTAGGATATAATTTATTTGGACACATCACTTTGGAGTGAGCCCGGAAACATTGGGAGCAGACATGAAGTAGTCTGCAGGCACTGTATCCGCAAGTGCCAGTGTTAAAGTTGTTACAAACTTGATTTTTCCAAAAACACTATATTGCGTCACAGTTTATCTTTCAGTACCCTACCTGTTCTCCCAGTGGGCATCATATT